ACTCCGACTTATCACAGAGTATACGCTACGTTCACCTTGATCGTGAGAGGGGCTAGTACGCCTGCCCACGTAATCAGCGCATTATAACGGACCTGGCCCTAACCGTGCTTCGGGAAGTTGTCATCACTACCACAACCCGTAAGTTCCATTGGTGGTTGAGCTCATTAGCCGGGGGGCCAGTTGGGAGTGAATCAAGCTGGGGGGGGGGCAGCAGCCGCCGGCGGGGGGGCAGTTGGGGCGAGCAGGCCGGCAGGCAGAGTGGTTGGGGCAATCAGGCAGGCAGGCAGGTGAGCGGTTAGGAGCCAGCAGTCCCAAATTGTGAGAGGGATGTCCGACTGCCGGTTTAGACCCAATCCCTGTAAACCGGCAGTAGGACATTCTTCCAGGGGTCCCAGATTGGAGAGGGTGCAGGCCGGGCTGAGGGACACCCCCTCCCCCCCGTGCACGAATTTCGTGCACTGGGCCACTAGTAAAAGCATAATATGCTAATTAGACCAGACAGCTGAACGACCTTCTGAACGACCTTCCGGACGTCCTTCTAGACCAGTGATGGCGAACCTTTTGAGCTTGGCGTGTCAGCATTTTGAAAAACCCTAACTCAACTCTGGTGCCGTGTCACATAGAGAAATTTTTTGATATTTGCAACCATAGTAAAACAAAGATTTATATTTTTGATATTTATTTTATATATTTAAATGCCATTTAACAAAGAAAAATCAACCAAAAAAATGAGTTCGCGTGTCACCTCTGACATGCATGTCATAGGTTCGCCATCACTGTTCTAGACAAGCCGCAGCAGTGGGGGATGAGGCTGAGGCAGAGGCAGTTAGAGGCAATCAGGCAGGCAGACGAGCAGTTAGGGGCGATCAGGCAGGCAGGCAAGCAGAGTGGTTAGGGGCGATCAGGCAGGCAGGCAAGCAGTTAGGGGCAATCAGGCAGGCAGGCAAAGTGGTTAGGGGCGATCAGGCAGGCAGGCAGAGTGGTTAGGAGTTATCAGGCAGGCAGGAGAATGGTTAGGAGCCAGCGGTCCGGGATTGCGAGAGGGTGCAGGCCGGGCTGAGGGGACACCCCCACTCCTGTACACGAATTTTGTGCACCTGGCCTCTAGTATATAATAAAATTCCACCTTTTTTCAGCATTAATGTAGGGTGTGTGAGTCTACCAATTGTGATGGCACAGGAAATTAATGTCTAAATGAACTGTGTGTAATAGGCACATTTCACTACGAGGCAAGCAGGTTTCCTAGGAAGCATATGGTAATCATCAGTATACCATTAGCCTTCTATTACTAGACTTTGAGGAACTATTTTGTAAAGATTATCTGGTACCAAATTAAAAAGAAATTAGACTCAGGTTTAAGATGCCTCTGGTGTTCTGAAATTTTTCTGAAAGATCATTTAAAAAACTTCAAACTTCAGATTTTTCATTCATGTATTTATTCCACAATCAAAATAAATCATAACTTAAAAATCATAATGTTTTTAAAAGGTAAAGGGAGACTTTGTGTCACAGTTTCATTAATAAAACAGACATCGGTCTAAAATGCAACACTAAACAGGTGTTCTATTCCCATAGTGGAATAAATACATAATAATTACACATAAAATTTCACTAAAGATCTGGGATGAGGCAAATAACCCTTTGAAACAAACTGCCCAATGAATAGAGGCGTGCTGCAAATAATTTCTATTAACATTTTACTGCAAGATGGAAAATCCCCAAGGTAACTACAGACACAATCCTTCATTTTATGCACCTGGCCTTGGCTTTTGTCTTCCTTCCTCAGACATATCCAAATCCAGAAAGGTTTCTGCCCCTCATGCTCAAAAAGGCCACCATGGGTCCCCAAGGACCTGAGCACAGACCGCAGTTAATGAGTCTGTATGCAACCTCCATCCAGAACCTCCAGGGAAATCAAGAGCTCAAACTCGTAGAGCAGCAGCATTTCTTTGAGCAATAGTTTTAACTGTCAAATGAGCTCTGACAGGCCATGTGCATTTCATAAACAAACCAAAATATTGTCTTATTATCTTCTATTTTTTTCTTGCAAAATATTAAGTAGACCATTCAAGTAAAAAAAAAATTTTTTTACAGAAACAAAAATTCAAAGGGTTTATGCCAAAAAGCAAACCAGTCTTTTGCAGCCTAATTCATTTGTTTCTGGGCTGTGAAGCCATGTAGAGGGCGATGAGGCAGTAGATGGTCCCTCCCAACGTCAGTGCCATGGTGGTCCGGTAAAGCATTTGGTCAGGCAGGCCTCGTTTCAGGTGGATGGGCACACCATCAGATTTCTTGAAAGAAAGAATTATCAAGGACATGGTTGATAAGAAAAAGATTTATAATTTAGACTAGTAAAGAACAAATGTCTCTACTCTATGACTAACCCATTACAGTGGAAAAAGCCCTAATCCATTAAAATGCTAATTGAAATACTAGTATTATTTCTTATAAATGTAACTAAAGTTTGTAAATCCAAGATAATTCTCCAAAATACAGCCTCAGGAACGTGCATGCAACAAATTCCAAATTTCTAAGGAATTTATCATATTGCTTAACTAAGAAAGAAGCATTGGTGAATTTTTTTAAGACATAAAGGTAACCAGCAGCTAACTTAAGAGCTAGATAGGCACAAGAAATGCTCTATATTTACTTTGACTTCCTGATCACTGGTGGATGGAGTCTGAGCACACCAGGTCAGTTAATAGGTTCAATTCCATTTTTTTTTTATTCAGCCACCTTCTTTCCATTAAGGTGTGTCAAATCCATTTAATAACGACAATCCATAAAACGTTTAATCCATTATTTTGCAGTCTCCAAAATCCCTCCCCACTGCAACGCCAAGACCCCCACCCTGCTCAAGACGGACTTATCCGCCCTTGCCAGCTTGCTCAGTGGTTAGAGCATCGGCCTGAGAACCGAAGGGTCTCAGATTCAAGTCCCTGGCACCGGAGGCAATCAATCGATGTGTCTCACAAGGATGTTTCTCTCTCTCTCCTGATACTCCCTCCCTTCCACTCTCTCTAAAAAAATCAATGAAAAAAATATCCTCCGGTGAAGATTAACAAAAACACACATACACACAAAAATTTTACTTATCAGATTAAAATGGATTAAACTGATCAAAAGTCCCCAGGCCAGTCCTGAATCTGGACATAGTATTTTTGAGGGAGAAGCTACCTCCCAGCAACAGCAGTAACAGGCACTACCACTCCCATGGCATCTGAGACATTATCTGTATATAGATTAATGTTTACAACATTTTAAAATCCAGTTTTAGCTTCTCTCTGTTGATCAGCAAACCCAAGAGAGCCTCCTCCACTTCTAGCAACAGCTCAGTGAATTTTACTATCAAGGAGGCAAAAAAACAATTAGAAGAAAACTCAATGCCAAAAGTCACTGCATGTGTCACAAACCCAAATATATATTGGATTATTCACAATGTTTATACATAATACATGCTACTGTTTCCTCCATCCGATATATGCAATTTAAAAACCTGCATACCTTCAAATACTGATAAGAAAATTAATCACCCTCTCTCTTTCATCAGTTTCTACCTACATTGAGTTCTACTAGTTTATGGCTCAAATAATATCAAAAGAATTCTATTAAGGAAAAAGAGAGAAGGGGGTAGTAAACTAGATTAACACTCCGTTTCATAGTGTTTGTTTTTAAACCTATTTATTTCACAGGCTTCTTTGTTCCCGAGTGCCTCCTCTCACCTGGAAAAACTTCTGCAGCTCTGGAACTTTGTTTTTCCCAGCATAATCATATGTAGGATAATCGGAAGTCAGTTTAGTTGGTGTGGCAAATATGATAGGCGGTGCTTCTGTGGAAACCACAGGCTTTAATCCCTGCAGGAAAAAAGGAAGAAAGTATATCTGGGCATCTGAACAAGCCTTTCAAGGAGCAGGCTGTCTGGAATAGTGGAGGCAGTCATTCCACCATGAGAGGGAAGGAAAGCCTCTCTAATTCTGCATTACAAGGCCTTTAATTTTTTAAGTTTAAGGTTTAAAGTCCTTAAACTTTCAACAAAATACCCTAGTCCACTTTACCAGAGCAACCTGCCAAGCACCCCCGGCCATGAAGAAGGGGGAGAAGCGAGGGGGGCACAGGGAGCAAGGAACAAACAACAAAGGCCCATTCTAGAAATACCTATTGTGTCTATCTTATCAAACCAGTAAAACATTTATAATCTGTACGAACTTTGGTTTCAAGAAAGAGCTGGCTGTCCCTTTCCTTCTCCTGGTGAGCTGATATACCAATATGGAATCTCTAACCCCAGAAAGGACTTCAGATTCTTTTCAGACACACAGTACAAAAATACCTCCATCTGGAAGAAACTTTAATGGTAAGAGATGTCTTTCAGAACCAGAAAACAAACACAAAACAAAATAATTAGAGTAACTAAATTTTCCAGCATTAATAAGCCCATAAGTTTTTTAAAAACTTTTTTATAAAAACAAAAAGGAAACCTCAGTGTTCTCATGTGTGACATGTGTATGATAGTAACAGTATCTACCACTGAAAGGACTGCATGACATAGTAAATATATGCCTAAAGTAGTTACCTGCACTTACAGGTATTCAACAAATATAAACTGAATGAGATTTGGGGATTAGTACAGGTTACTATTTGTAACCTCAGCCACATTGATAAAGGAAGGACAAACCCACAGGCTTAAAAAAAAAAAAACCTAAGGGGAAAGAAAAATAAAGTACTGATTCATGCTATAACACCAATTAACCTTGAAAATACTGCACCGAGTAAAAGGAGCCAGTCATAAAAGCCCACATTATGATCCCATTCATATAACAGTCCAAACTAGGAAAATCTAAGAGACAGAAAAGAGACTAGTGGTTGCTTAGGGCTGGGGGGTGAGGAGTAAGGGGATCAGAGCTGAAGGGTACAGGTTTCTTTTTGAGGTAACGGGAATACTCTGAAACTGATATGACGATGGTTGCACATTATCTGTGAATACACTAAAATAAACTTCAATGGTACATTTTAAATTAGTAAGTATATGGTATGTGAATCATATCTCAATAAGCTGTTACTTTAAAAAGGAACCCAAGGCCCTTAGCCCACTTAGAACAGTCATGGTTATGGACCTCACAAGAAGAGCTCCAACCGCCCTTTTCCCCAGAACACCCCTAACTCCTGCAAACCCTTTTTAGCACTGCCGGACTACAATTTAGAGGAGGCCTGCAGTCTCACACACACACACACACACACACACACACACACACAAACATTGGGAAAAGCAATACAACTTTAGATAACTAAGATAGACAGATATAGACGGACGAAGGAGCCTAAGGGGAACTCTGGTTTTCCATCTGAAGAAGTAAATCTACAGTGGCAGATATATAGATGGTTCTCCAAAATAACCTGCAGATTAAAATGAGGAAGTTAGATTCCAAATCAATAAAAATCACTTCCTTTTATATTAAATTCTAACCAGGAAAAATAAAACTTTAAAGTTAGAAAGTAGAGTTCAAGTTCAGCCTCTTCCTTTTTTACAGATGAAAATGGAAACTCTTTGCCCAAAATTAATAAATACAGTTGTTAGACCCCTGGTTCCTGATCTCTTCAAAAAAACCTAAGTTTGTCCTAACCGGTTTGGCTCAGTGGATAGAGCGTCAGCCTGCAGACTGAGGGGTCCCGGGTTCGATTCCAGTCAAGGGCATGTTCCTTGGTTGCGGGCACATCCCCAGTGGGAGGTGTACAGGAGGCAGCTGATCGATGTTTCTCTCTCATCGATGTTTCTAACTCTCTATCCCTTTCCCTTCCTCTCTGTAAAAAATCAATATATTTTAAAAAACAAAACAAAAAAAACCTAAGTTTGCCTATAATTGACAGAACCTATTTTAAAAAGCAAATATTGAAAACCTCAATATTACTCCCACCAGGCAGGCATTAGGATCAACAGGGCAACAAAATAGTATTAGAATAAACTTGGCTTCTATTAATGGGGCTGAATCACGGCCTTTATTCTGTATTCCATTTACTCATTCACATATATTACTGAGCACTTACTAAAAATACACAATAAATAAGACAGATACAATCTCTGCTATTATGGATATCCATGTTATGGAGTAACAGCAGCTAATATCTGAGCCCTTGTTATGTGCCCAGCATCATGTTAATTTAAACATTTCATATGCATCATCTCATTTAATCCTGACAGCAACCCTAGGGGGATGTTACTATTCCCTTTTTTTACAGAGGAGAAAACTGCATCGGAGAAAGTAACTTGCCTGAGATCACATAGCAAAGAGACAGAGCCAAGTGTCAAAACTCAAGCCTCTCTCAAGTACAGAGCCCTGGATTTTAAGTATTTCACTATCTGTCCCAGTCACTGCCCCTCAACAACGATCCATTTAAAGAGAAAGTTTGGTCAATATGCTATTAGCCTACATTTGGTATATAACACACACAGAGAGACTCAGGAGCCTGGGATGGGAAAAGGGATCTTACCCACAAGGCTTAAAAGGGTCTTTCTTTGAACAGGAGAATTTTACACACTCCCTTTATTCTGTAAGCAATTTGTATTTTCTCCTAATGATCATTTCCCCTTGAATGAAAAAAATTAAAAAACCCTTCCTACCAAGCATCTCCAAATATGGTTTTAAATTAAATTCATGTTTTGACAGGACTAATGTGAAAGCACTTTAATACCTAATTGCTTTGTTTGTTCACTCATCAAGTGATTCAAAACTACAGGAAAGTTTTTGAGCAATATCATCTGAAAATAGTACTAATCATCTTAACAATTTTAAATAATTTCATATTTCCATTTATAATACTGTAAAAGTTTGGAATATTGAGTTTTAAAGTTATCTATCATCCCATTATCTTATCCCATCAATTATTATAATTGTATATTCTCTAATCTCTTTTCATAGGCATATTTTGAAATGTTTTCCTGTGATTTAGGACTATAAACAAGTTTCAATCCAGTGCCTCAAGTCCTTTATTTCTAACTTCAAGCCAGATATCACTACCTCCATGTTTCCCTGACACCTCACACTCCATTTGTCCAAAATTGGTTTCTCACAAGTCTACTTAGGAGCCCCGCTTCTGTGGAAAGCATCACCATTCTCCAATTTCCCAATCACCTTAGATTCCTCTTTCCTCATCCCTAAAATCTCCCTCATTGGTCGCTAAATCCTTATCCAGACCTCTGACTTCTCCATTCCTATTCAGAAGACCGTGAACTATTTTGTGGATCTAACAGGCATCCCTGGCACTGGTCTCTCCCAGTCAGACTGTTTTCAAAGCATAGCTCTGGTCATACTTGCTCCTCCGTAAACCTTTCATAAAACTAAGGGTAAGAAGCATGTCTTTGTTTCAACCTCTGGCCAAGACTCTACTACAACTTTCTGCAGTAAGTTGCTTTGCAAATGTCTACTCATTTCTCACAAAATTAAGTCCTACCATCCTAGACCCTTCATGACCTACCTCCATCTACCACGGCCAAACTTACTCAATGATTCCCCAGTTGCCCCCCTCCCCTCCATCACTCTGTTACCTTTACCTAAAACATCATTCTGCCAGCTTAAATAGGAGAGGAATTGCTAAATTGTATGGTAAAATTAAGTTTACTTTTTAACAAATTGCCCAACTGTTTTCCAAAGTGGCTACACCATTTTACATTCCCACCAGCAATGTACTAGGGGGCTCCAGTTCCTCCACATTCTCACCAACTCCTGTTGTCTGTCTTCTTGATGCTAGCAGGTGTAAAATGGAGTCTCATTTGCAGTTCCCTAATGACTAATGATGTTTATTGGCCCCAATTTAATGGCACCACATGTGAAAGTAAGGCAAATGTTTTTCAATCAACCCCTGGAAAATATCCTCCCCACAATTGCTTGCTATCAAGTTGATTTATAAATCTCGACGAGCACTGTTGTTAAGAGAACCAGCTTTTCCACATTAGGTTGCTCAATGCTTGTTCAGTTATTCAATGCACTTTACATAATACTGACAGTGACAAACGTCTACATTTCCCATTGTGCCACTATCTCTAAGAAAGGGAAAAGTTAAGTACTCCTCTAATTACCGAAGTCAGAACACCTGGTTTGCGAATGCCTGTCACAATCACTCTGAAATCTACAAATTATACAAAGCTTACATGTATCACTTTTTTCAACATAACTTAAGAAATCCATACGTAACTAAGACGTTCACATTCTCAAGAGAAACACAATTCAAGAAGTGCTAGAAACCTGAAAGCCCTAGCTGCAAAGTCATCTCAGGGTAATCTCTGCTCTGAGTGTCAATTCAATTTCAATATATGTTCGTTTTACTCTAAAACTGCACTTTTTCCTTAGTAGTTATAGTTAACAAAACCGTGGTTATGCTAAAACTCTACTAAAAGAACATCTACAACCAACAGAATAGGTCAATTGTGATATATTCATACAACAAATCCTACACAGCAATAAAAGGAACTGACTACTAACATATGTAACATGAACTGCAAAAACAATGAGAAAAAGAAAACTTACACAAAAGGGTACTGTGTGGCTCCACTTACATAAAATTCAAAAATAGGCAAAACTATTTATAATGATAAAAGTCAGAATAGGGAGGTGGACAGAGATTGGCAGGGCAAGAGTAAGAGGGAACCTTCTTAGGGGTGGTGTGTTTAAACTAACATTTAAGATGCATACACTGAAAAATATACTTTAAACTAGAAACAGATATGATAGAAATGGCTGTTTTCCTATAATCTGTAAAAGAAATCACTGTGAACAATTCCTGCTTTAGACCTCTTTACCAATTTGGTTTCAGTGACAACACACCGGTCTCCCTTATAATCCTGGATTGCTCCTTTGATAAATTTTCCTTCTCCACCCTCCCTTCATGTTTCTGTAGTCTGGCTATATTCCCACTTTTCTTCGCTAGATACTCCCTGGGTGATCACCACCACCAGATACTACTACCACCTATGGACTGAAGATACTCCAATCTATTAAATTCCATAACCCACAAATCCAGCTGTTACCAGACATATCACAAGCTCATTTATAAACCTAGACCCTTCCCCCACCCCTCCCAGGACTTGCCCTTCTTGCCCTCCCTATCCTGGGTAATAACAGCACATCGAATCTTAGATTGTAACCATCCTGTAACACCCCACACGCACACTTTGGGCAAGTTGCAGTGCCCACAGGAAAAGGAGGGGGTTCACAGGGGAGCATCTTTTACAGCCTACCTGGGCCCCTTACTATTCCAGTCGTTTGCCAGCTGCATATCTTATTGATTCTTCCCATACCACTCTATGAGGATAGAAATGAATGTGACGGTAGCTCAGACTCAGCTTTTGGAGAATGGCTACCGCTTACCCAGTACCTACCACCTGCCAAAGACTCCAGTCACCTGGGACACGCCTCATGTAATCTGTACTACAGCTGCCCTAGATGAAACTGAGCTCACAACAAAGGAACTTGATCAATCTATACTAATAAAAGGGTAATATGCTAATTAGACCCTGAGACCTTCCGGGAGACCTTCTGGGCGTCCTTCCGGACAAAGCCATGGTGGTGGGGCCGAGGCAGAGGCGGTTAGGGGCAATCAGGCCGGCGGGGGAG